TGATATTATTTGGGGTTTATCGTCCCAAAACCTCATACGATTGTGAGCAACGACGTAGCGCAGAGCTCCGGATGTTTCGCTGGCCTTCTTCAACGTGCGTTGACATTACAGAGTACACTGGCATCTAGCATTTCGCCTCCACCGAAATCCATCTGCCGTAGCCGGGATAGAAACCGCGACCTATGGGTCAGCTACCGAACACTGTGACCCGCTACACCACTTCGGTGGACTCGAGGGTATTCCCATCTCCGCAGTAATGTCAGCCGTAGGGTTAGTCAGACACGCCTCACTGTACGCTACCGAGCGGCCCACAAACTGGATCTACACGTGGTAACCCAGATACGAGACAACCTGACTTCGCCAGCAAGCTTTACTGGTCGCCGGAGTAAGCACGTCGGGGAAATAGGATAGCAGAGAGTGTAGAACAGGGAAGTACTTAAAAACGTATAACAAAGCATCTAGATAAAGTTTATCTCCGAGTTCTTAAACAGAGATCATCGCGCGCACCCCTTGCACTGACATGCACTGTCACATAGAGCAGCCAGTTGGCGAGGTCAGACTTCTCTAGCCAGTTGCGTGCAATGTTTGCCGAGCTGCCACCCGCGTGCCACAGGGACCGGGTGGCCTTTGAAGCATTTAGGTTCTATCGGCAGGCAGAGAACGAGCACCACGTTGGCAGCTCAAAGACTTCCATTCGCGGCGTCTCGAAGGCACCGCACAGATGGCCTAGGTGTTCGATGGTCTCGTGCACAAAACTGCGGTCATTGTGGTTGTTCTATATAACAGCGAGACAGAAACGGGGCGTGCGTACTTGCTTAACACGCAATACAGCCGACCCGCGACTGCAGCTCGATGATGCACTGAGATATTTCGTGCGCGAAGTAAATGCCGCGGATCCGACTGCCAGAAGAGCATGTGTTCTAGTGTTCGATGATACTGTGTTGTTGATTGTGATCGTGCTGATGTTTATTTGTTGAGGATGATCTATTATTGATGTTTGCACTGTTCTGTTCTGTTTTAACTGTTTTGCTGTGGAGAGGTTGAGGTGCCTATTGCCTCGGCTACTCCATATCACAAGGTTCTGCAGCGAAAAATAAAATAATAATACAGAACGGTACGCAAAATTAACAATACGGAAAAAAAAACACATAATAGGACACTGAAACCAGTTCAAATAACATGCCAATACACAGTTTTCTTCACGCAGTTCACACAGTCATAAACTACTTACACGCACACCTTACTATGCTGATGTTGTCTTCGAGGACCTGCAATGGCTCAGATCTTCTCTGGCAGACTGGCTCACAATTGGAAGGCAAAGACGAAACTCCCAACGTGACACCGCGAGCCGAACTCGGTCATCGTAATAATAATCATCATCATCGTTCGCCGTTCAATTCGTGATCAGGCACATGACGAACTCATCTCATTCCAACAGATCATGGGGCCCGGTGAAAAATTCTTTTAGTACTAATTCTACGCACTTGGTTCGCGTCCGCGATGCTATATCGAAACTATCAGCTGTCAGCTGTAACCACGAAAACTTGGCATATTTCGCTTCCCGAATGAAAACTAGCGATGATCCGTAACCAGAGTGTCACTCACGGGAGCAGTTTTCACGATTCTACATGAATACTGTAGACCCAACAGCAAAAGTTTACGGGACGTTGGCTTCACAAGAAATGCGAATTACTGCTCTATCGATGAGGTGGGATAATCAGTGTTAACCGTGGAAGTGCATCAAACTGGCTGGCCGATGTTCCGATAGGAGGACCTATTTTTTTCAAAGGCCCCGTGTCATCCTTGGCGTGTTAGTTTTAAAGAGGTTAGTGGTGACGTCATCTCCTGGCGGTGGCTCGTGTTCCTGTCGATTATCGCCGTGTGAAAATAAAAAAAAACTACAAAGCAGAGGAGTAGTGTCATCGCTTCCCTTCAAGTCTATAGTTTATTGCTTTGGCGCTTATGGCAAACTGCAGGCTGGAACACTTACTCGGAGGTTATGCTCTTACATAAAGCGAGGATGCAGGTTTCTCGAACGCCTCGCGTCCCGCAAACTTTTGCGTGTTGGGAATTACGTGTAGACAAAGTAGGCTGTGACAACGTAAACGTGGTACATGCGGCACCTCGAAACATTGAGCGAGCGTGTGTAAGCCCTTGCGTTCGTGCGTGCGCTTCCACTTCTTTCTCTGCATACGCGCCACACACGTACGAGCGTGGCGCGCAAGCCGCAGACGTGCGGAGCGTGCCGTACGTCGTGCGGGGAAGCCAACCGCAGCGGCGGTGACCGTGGTGAGTGCGGAGGAAGAAGGGAAGAGCTGGCCAACTACGACGCAGGAAGGACACTGTTTGTCGCAGGCGTGTGCGACCTTGGTGACAAAAAGAGAAACCACGTAGGCGGGCATTTGTTAGCCACATTATTTGAGCTATATACGTTTGCTCTCTCACTGCTCAGGCGTGGTTAACCAGCCCCGCCGTGGTAGTCTAGTGACTAAGGTACTCGGCTGCTGACCCGCGGGTCGCGGGATCAAATCACGGCGGCGGCGGCTGCATTTTGGATGGAGGCGAAAAGGCTGTACGCCCGTGTGCTCTGATTTGGGTGCACGTTAATGAACCCCAAAATGGTCGAAATTTCTGGAGCCATCCACTACGAGCGTCTCTCATAATCATATATTGATTTTGGGACGTCAAAACTCCACATATCAATCATCAAATCAATATTTAAAGATACAAAACAGCAAGGCTTACCAGTGCAATATGGCGACACGGAAACCCATCCATAAAATGATCTATTTATAGATCACTTTATGGATGGGTACCGACCCATGGTGGTTATGTATTCGTTAGTAGTAATGAACAAACAAAGACATAAAAAGCTGTCCCCGAGGTTAGTAGTCGTACACTTGCGAAAGGGTCGGCAATGCTACCTTCAGCGTTGCCGGTCACGTTCCCAATAACGGCGCTCCTGCTTTCGTTATGACGCCGGGGCCATCTGCGCTATTCAGTAGACGGCATCGGCTGTCGTCACAGTCCTTTGTTTTCCGTCACCTGCTTGATGACAGGGTGTTTCTGTACTATTCATGTAGTGATTCTGGAATCGTTAATGTTTTCGCAACGAAAGTGGAGGATCCCTCGCATCGCTGTACTTCTGGGGTTTTTGCAGGCAAGAACCGTCGTTTAATTATGACGCCCATAGAGTTTCCTAAAATCAATTACAGGTGATTCTGGCGCTGCGATCGTTCAGCGACCATGGGATTGATGGGTAGTACACGAATTTGCCTAGTCTTCGTACTTGCGGGTGTCGAATCGTACTTGTGGCTTCGTTTATTCCTGTGTTTCGGTTTTGTTTAAAAAAAAAAAGAATGAACCATTTTGAACTTTATGTCCTGATTTTAGAAGGTAAACCTAAAAGAATAAGGTGGTGAATCGCAACCGCTGAACACTTGATGATTTTTGTTTCGTGAGAAAACAGCTCCAGGCCTCACGAACAGACACGCGTAGCCAGAAGTACGTAGATTAGGCAAATCCGTCTACTACCCATCATTCCCATGCTCGCTGAAGCGCCGTGCGTTGCAGCTCCCAAAGGCACTAGCGCCATAGTTCCCTCTAGTGTATATTAAGGAAACTTTATGATGACGCCTGCTGTAATGGCGGCAATCCGAACGATAGGGGGTCGCGGTGAAAGCTTAAAAATTATGGAAAGGGTAACGCTATGCCTTGGTATTTATTCGCCTTACCGCCATGGTACAAGATGCTTCATTCTTTTGTTTTACATTTTTTATGTAACTTGTCTGGTGCTGTAGACTATGCATATTAAGAAAATTGAAAAGATGCCTCATCACTTCAGTTCGCTTCTACTCCATAGCCTAATAACATTTGGGAGAGACATGGTGGACTCTGGTGCAGCAACAGAAGAATTCACATAGTCCTTGAGTCGGAATTAGTATTACGGCACTCTGCGTTTTGCGTCACCTATAGGTCCACTGAAAAATCCAGTAATGACGCCTAGTATAACTGACCCGCATTTCCCCTCTTTTCCTCACACGCCCACCTACACGCATGTACAGTAAATTAGTATAAAGCAGGCGTACAGTTCTTAATAGTACCACCAGGGCTCTAACAATGTAGCTAAGAGTAGGAAAATTAAGTTCATGAGGGTCAAACACACAGCTAGTTTTTAAATACCCTTTATGGCGCTTTACACACAGTCTAACGTGAGTCACCGTCGAGAAGTGGCTAAGGTGCTTGGCTGTTGACCCGAAGGTATAGGATGCTATCCCGCTCGTGGCACTCGCATTTAGATGGTGGCATAATGTTGGAGGCCCGTGTGCTCTCGTTAAAGAACATCAGATGACCGAAATTTCTGGAGCTCTCCACTACAGCGTCTCTCATAATCATATTGCAGTTTCGGGACGTAAAAACCCAGTTACATTTACACTATTATAAAGCAGTTTTTTGCGAAACTTGATTTGACGAAGTTTCGATTTACCTTTAAAGCAGCGATAAACTGTGCAAGTTGGTGGCTGTTCATGGTCCCTTCTTGCGCTGAGCGCTACAAAACGACAGCTATACGAAATATGGGGACACGCTGACTGTAAGGTCTGGAGTCGCAGGCCACGAGAGCGAGTCTTCTCGGTCTAAAAGGGGCGCGCTTCCCAAAAAGCCTATTCTCGGGAGACGATAATCTCGGCGTAAGCGCGCCCCTTCTGGCAAGAATACCGCGGTCAATCGCCGCTTCTAGCAACCAGCTAAATGGTCCCGGAATGCAGATTGCCGGCAGGTGACGGGAGGACAGTGCATAGCCACCCATCCGTCTGGAGTAGAGTCCGCGGGACGGCTGTCATGCTGGACAGCGTAGTCATCTCGCGGTGATGCAGGAGGCCCGCAGCCGAACGGCGCCACCATTGTGTGCATTCGCACAGTTCGCGGAACGTTGGGAGCAGGCCGGTCCTTTCGTCTCTCTCTTTCCGACCGAGCAGTCGAGTGCGGGAAGAAAAAAGAGA